CTAGGATTGACGTCTAGAAGTCTTCAGCAGACTCCACTTCTCAGATGAATGCAATAGGCAATGTAAAAAATTCAAATATGAAAGAGTGCAACTCCAGCAGAGTCTTATCTGCTCTCCTGCAGGAGTGTTTCTCACTAGTTCACATTTCTGCAGAAGGTCTGCACCCAGCTAGGCCTGGGACTGAGGCCATGGTTCAACAGTAGAGCACTTGCCTAGAATCCCCCAGTGAGGGGCTGGGGGTGTGGCTCAGTGGTAGAACACCTGCCTAGAATCCCCCAGTGAGGGGCTGGGGGTGTGGCTCAGTGGTAGAGCACCTGCCTAGAATCCTCCAGTGAGGGGCTGGAGTGTGGCTCAGTGGTAGAGCACCTACCTAGAATCCCCCAGTGAGGGGCTGGAGTGTGACTCAGTGGTAGAGCACCTGCCTAGGATCCCCCAGTGAGGGGCTGGGGTGTGGCTCTGATAGGAAACATGACCTTCCTGGAGTGTCAGGGTATCCTTCCCCGTACCCCATCTGCTTATTGTCCTGCCTCAGTGTGGGCTTCTCTTTCCAGTGGCCTCATTTGCATACCCACCATCCTGTGTAAGTGTCTGGAGAAGAATCATGTGACTCCCAAGGAGTGGCCTGAGTTGTTAGTAGAACAGAAGCCACTTGACTGCCTTGGACTCAGGTTCTGAGAAATCTGTGGTTTACTAACAGAATGCACATAACACCTATTCCCTAGCCACTACCACCGCTCTGAGCAACAAGCCGATTGCCAGTTATCAGTGGCTTTCCATCTCTCACTGAGCCAGCTGATGGGGAGCTGGGAGCGCTGCTGCTGTCTCCCATCAAGAAAGAGCTCCGGGAGCCAGGCATGGTGATGCGATCCCGCCACCCCGGAGACTGAGCACAGGAGGATCTTGAGTTTATGGTTAGACTGGGCTACACAGCGAAACCCTGCCTCCGAATATCCAAAATGGGTCTGGTGAGATAGCTCGGTGGCAAACCAGTTTACTGTACAAGCCTGAGTTCGATCCCTAGGACCCTGGAAGGAGACAGCCAAATTCTGGAAACTGATCTCTCTGACCTCCACATGCCCTCTTGCCACATGTATGCTTGAACACACACACACACACACACACACACACACACACACGTTAAAAAGAGTAGAAAATGATAAAGATGCACAGGGTCCAACTCTGGCCTCCTCATGAAGGTACCCCTATACGTTCAGGAACATATACTTAAAATATCAAAATAAACAAAATGATATTGCATCCCTTTTTATTAGCCCAGAAGAGGTTTTTTAAGTACCATTTAATGGGGTTCACATTTCTTTCCCGCTATCACAATGCCAAAAATATGAAGTTTAGACTTTATATGTGGGGGTGGCTGGTTATTCTTTTTCAGTCTCTGGGTTTTGGGGTGTTCTCTGCACCTCCCCTCAGTTCACATCCCCTCCACTCACATCCTCTGACTTGGCATGAGCATTTCACAGCACCCTCTAGGTAAGGGCTCAGCCCAGTGAGTGTCAATCACCTCTTCCTGCTCCTTTGGGAGAGGCTCTGTTCACGGCAGCTCAGGGTGGAGATGGGGTCCACATGCACATTGTCATCTGCAGGACCCCTTGTCACAGAGCTGTGTTCCATAGTCTCTACAGACCATGCTTTAATGAGTCATCTTTCTTTCTGAACTCTACAAAACTATGCAGAGTGAAGAAATGAGATCAGCTCTGTTATCTCAGTGACTTTTTTCTTTTGCGTTCCTATGGACTGTGGTGATATATTGCATACCCTAATAAAGCTTGCCTTGAGGATTAGAGGACAGAGCCAGACACTAGATTAGACATAGAGGCCAGGCAGCAAACACCCTTAATCCCAGTTCTGGGAAGCACACATGCCTTTAATCCTAGGAAGTGACAGCAAGGTGGAGAAAGGTATATAAGGTGTGAGGAAACAGGAAATAAAGCAGTTCAGCTGAAATCCTTTCCGTGAGGACACAGAGGCTTTCAGTCTGAGAAAACAGGATCAACTGAGGAGTTGGTGAGGTGAGGTTGGTTGTGGTTTGCTCTGCTTCTCTGATCTTTCAGCTTTCACCCCAATATCTGGATCTGTGTGGTTTTTTTAAATTATTATTATTGTAAGACCTTTTAAGATTTTCATTACAGCGGACTTTCCTATGTAATCCAGGCTTGAGTTTCTTGTTTTACCACATGTACTTTTTTGGGGGATGGTGGTGATGGTGGAGGTTTGGGGTGTGTGTCTCACTATGTAGCCCTGACTGGCCTAGAATTCACCATGTAGACCAGGCCTCCAACTCACAGCGATCCACCTGCCTCTCCATCATCAGTGCTTGGACTAAAGGCATATCTAATTACCTTGTTATTTGAGATTGGGCCTTGGCAGAATTCCGCAAGTAGGCTAGCATGACTGGCCAGGGAACTGCAGGCATCCACCTAGGTTCTCTTCCCAGCGCCACAGCAAGGGGACCAGAGGCAGCCTTGGGAGGAAAGCCTCAAAAAGTTGAGGTCCCTGAAAGAGGTTACTAGAGTATTCCAGAAATATCTGAGGCTGGCAGGAGCTGCCTTCACAGTGGGGCTCAGCAGAAGACATTGCTGTAAGCTCCAGGGACCGAGTTTCTGGTTGATTGCATATATCTTGATGGCCAGCCCCTGACCTAGAAGGTTCTGGTTGTATGTGATGGGACATTCACAGTCCAAGGGGACTTACATCTGAGGTGGCGCACCCCAGAAGTCTGTTGGTGTGGGTGCCTTGTGATTTGAGGACTGTTCTTGAGGTTTGCTGCAGAGGGTCACCTCTCCTCTCCCAAGGAACACCACAAAGGGTAGTCTCTACAAGGAACCCCAGAAAACTTGGGGGGGGGTGATCCCCAGTAGAGAAAATCCAGCCCTTATTGGAGCATGTGATGCATGCCTATAAACTTAGCACCTAAGAGGTAGAGGGAAAAATCAGGAGTTCAAGGCCATCCTTACTGCTTTTGAGGCAGCCTGGGTTAGTATTTTTAAAAGGCGGGGGGGGGGGGGGGGAGCAGCCCTGGGGCATTCAACTCCACAGCCTGAGTACCAGAGTGAAAATGCCTCTTTTTTTGCTGACTTTGCTCGCTGCTCCTTGCCGGAGCCAGGAGGAGCTGGGGCAGGAGAGAGAAGTGAGCGGTGATGTAGAAGGCAGGCAGGCTATCCCCGCCCATTGCTGGTCTCTAGCAATTCTAGGCAGTTTGAAGCACATGAGTTACTTATGGGGCTTAAATTCTTGAAAAAAGACCCCTTCCTAATAGGTGTGCCCACGGTAAGTGTGTGACTGTCATGTGGACAGAGCTGGGAGGCAAGCTGGAGGGAAAGACTGGGGAAGTGGGAGCTGCGTCTTTTTATTTTATTACTTTTTTTGTTTATTTTATCTTCTTGCTTTATTTTATAACTAGTTTAATTTTAGATTTCACTTTATTTAAGACAGAATCTCGTGTAGCCCCAGGCTGGCCTCAAACTTGCTATTGTAGGCAAAGATGGCCTTGAGTGGATCAATCCTCCTGTCTCAACATCCCAAGGGCTGGGATGGCAGGTGTGTGCCACCATACCCTGTTTGTGCAGAGCTGGTGATGGGAACCTGAGCTTCGTGCATGCTAGGCAAGCACACTACCAACTTTTAGAGCTCCATTTCAGGCCAGCAAGTCCTTATTGCGCCAGTTCGCCTTCACGTTTGAAGGAAGAGCTGTGACCACAGCCAGCCCTGCCTCCTGAGAGCACAAGCCAGGTGGAGGGCATGTGTGTCAGGAGAGGGTGGCCTGGGGAATGTGGCCAGAGGTAGCAGGCAGCTGAAGGATCGGAAATGTGGACAGGTGAGTCGGGGAACAAATGTGGGGAGCGGGTGAGTGTAGATAGGGCAGATGAATGGAAGAATAGATGTGGAAAATAGGCACGTGTAGACAGGTGGGGAGGGGACAGGTGAATGGAAGAATAGATGTGGGGAGCAGGTGAGTGTGGACAAGTGAGTCAGGGGATGGGTGGTGGACAGGGGAGTATAGGCAGGCCAGTGAAGACTGGAGATGTCTTCTTCAACCTGTGAGTCCCATCCTTCCTCCTGTGCTTAGATCGCTTAGAAGATGGACTCTCTGTCGCCGCAGGAGCAGATGGCGCAGGACAGGATGCGTGGAGGCTAATTTTTGCTACAGGCCTTGGCTTTAGAGTGGGCAGGCACTGAATGCGACTTCCCCCTGAACTGAATGTGACAGTTCAGACAGAGCAGGGTGGTGTGCCCTGAACAGAGCATCTGGGCCCCAGAGGAGCTGCGCCAGCCAGGTCAGGAGGAGAGGGTTGGGGGTGGCAGAAGGTCTTGGCGGCAGTGCGGGGCCTCTGCGACGGGCCTCCCGTGTGTCGTCCCCATTCAGAGACAGCAGTGGGGCGGGCCCTGGGGAGGGCA